CCTGAAGGATTTGGGTTTGCTCTCAGTTAATGTTGCCTAGGGGTAGGTGAGGGAGCAAAACTGTCCTTTTTTTTCTGTGCAGAGACTGAGCACATCACTGAAAAGAGAAAATAGACCCCAATCACCAGTGCAGGTCTTTGAGGTGGCCGCTGATTGCACCCGTGGAAAAAAACTTGGATCCAAACACAGCGATCTAGTGAGGAGATGTCCCTGCCCAGGGCAGAGGGTTGGGACTGGATGATCTGTAAGGTCCACACCTCCTCACTAGATCAGGTTCCTCTAGGCTTCATCCAGCCTGGCCTTGAACACCACCCTCGCAGGGAAAAACTTTTTTCTCACATCCAACCTAGACTTTCCTTCCTTCAGTTTGAACCCATTACCCCTGAGCCTGTCCTCACAGGGAGATGCTCCAGTGCTCTCAGCAACTTTGTGGCCTCCTCTGCACTTGCCCCAACAGTTCCATGTCCTTCTGATGTTGAGGACACCAGAACTGTGTGCAGTATTCCAGGTGGGTCTCACCAGAGCAGATCAGAGGGGAAGAATCACCTCTTTTGACTTGCTAAAAGTCATAATGACTCCTCCTAAAGCAGTCATTATCCTCCTTCTGAATGAACCTGCTTACAAAGCAGCCGATCCAGTTGACTCCTGCCTTGTTTCATAAGGCACAACAAAGCTTTCCTTTAATTGATGATACTTTAATGCAAATCCATCATCCAGTTAACTTTGTGATCTCAGCCTAAATGATGTTATTCTAAGTGCCTATTGATTTGTAAAAGCCCCTCAGGTGATTCCCTCTTGCAAATGGACCAACAGAGGTGATTGATTGCAAGGCTGCCTTTGAGAGGTGCTCTGAATGTCACCTAGGGCCAGTGCTGCTTCATCATAGACCTCAGTCTCCTTCTGCCTTGGGTCTGTGAATGCCCATGGCTAACAGGAGTTGTATCTCATTGATTTCACTCATTTTATTTCTAGTGCAAACTGTGTTGGCACTGAAATGTGGGCAGAGTAACCGACTTAGTTCTCGGCTGTAGCAACAGTAACCTTGAACAAGTTTAGGTGAATACAGTGCACATTAAGAGGGATGTTCTGCTTCCAGCTACACCAGGCAAGTCTTTAAAAGTCAGGTTACTTATGAATTATCACTGAATCACAGAACAATCAGAGCTGGAAGGGAATCCTTGGGGCTCACCCAGCCCAACCCCTGCCCTGCACAGACATCCCTGACACTCACACCCTGTGCTGAGAGCATTGGCCAAACACCTCTGGAGCTCTGTCAGCCTTGGGGCTGTGACACTGCCCTGGGAGCTGTTCAGGGCCCAAACACCTCTGGGGAAAGAAGAACCAGTTGCTAATCTCCAGCCTACTGAGTGTGCAGAACGATAGACCCAGAAATGGGCAAGACACAAAGTGGCACTTAGGAGGTTTTATGTGCTTGCTTTGAACTAATGACTACTAAGGCAAATAACATTTGCAGAGGAGTGAATGATGCACAGCTGACTGGAGCTCCTGTCCATCAGCATAAGAAGGGGACAATAAAGAAAAAGAAAATTCATTTTCTGTTAGGAAAAGGAGATGTTTCTTCCCATGGATAATGAGTGGTGTCTACCACTGCCATAGCCAAGCACTGGACATGATAGAAAAAGTGTTCCTGTTGATAACAGAAATATTCACAAAGGTAATAATGAATGGAAACAATTTGAAACTGGGATAAAATTTCATCCTTCACACCTTAAGGCAATGCATATTTATTAGACACCTAAACCCAAGCATGAACAGTAAATTATGGACTACTGGGTTGCTTTCTCCTTTAACAATCACCTAATCTATTATGGCTCTTACATCAGCAACACATCCCCAACTTATCTGAGACAAGTCTTGGTCACATTTTTTTGTCTAAGTTATCCCATTTACTTCACTAGAAACACTTGAGTGCTTAAAGCAAGTAGAATTTGGTGGCAAGATGAGCCTCCCCATCCTCTAACCTGGTTCTGGGAGTCTCCAATCAGCCCCTGGTTTCTGTCTCTGTTGCTCCAGATATGAACTCATTAACTGCCTGGAGATGGGTTATTTTAGTCCCTGCTTAATAGTTGATGCCTGTGAATGTAGCTTAGGAATTGCCCCAACCCTGGCAGTGTTCACAGCCAGGTTGGATGAGCCTTGAGCAACCTGCTCTGGTGGGAGGTGTCCCTGCCCAGGGCAAGGGGTTGGGTCTGGATCATCTCTAAGCTCCTTTCCAACCTCTAAAATTCCATGATATTCTGTGATATTCTGTGAATTAATGGGATTTCTTCCTACCACCTTTCACTGTAAATATGTAGCCAGTTTCTCACAAACCTCCAGGCTTTCTCCTGGTTTCTTCTGCTTGTTGAACATCTGTGGGGCTTTTAACTCCTGTGTAGTGTTCAGGATCTAACAGTTCCCGGGATGCTCCAGTAACTCTGATACTTGGTGGCTCCAGAACAACTCACTCCACTGAAAGAATAAGAAATTCCTAGGATAAAATATTGGTTTTAGCTTTGCCACAAGGAGAAATTTTTCTTTTTCAGAAATTTAAATGAAGATTAAGTTAGCTGTGAAGTGTTGCAGCAGAAGTTTAGTGTCTCTGTTCATTACAGAGAGAAGAGATCTCCTGCCCAAACAGTAGGGATAGATTTGCTTGTGATGTTTATTACCACATTTACCGCATGCTCCATTATTCACTGCTACTCTTTTGCATGAAGACAGATGGTAAAAAACAGCAGAGCAGTTAGAACAGTGATAACCTGTCTTATGTTACAGGTAAAATTGGCTTCGTGTGCTCCATATCACTCCCCCTCTTTCGCCCCATCTCTCTTTCTTTCACCCATTATCCCTCTTTCAGATGTTTCTTGGGACTTTGATCACTTGCATCTACATTTGCAAGATGTAGGGGAACGTGGGGGAGCAGCATTATGGCAACTCTCTTAGTGGAAACATTCCCTAGAGCCACTGCTTGAGCTCATTAGACACTGCTGTAATTTCCAAGCTTTATAGCCTTTCCCTTCTTCCATGAACTTTCTGTATCCCCCAAAGTATCTGGAAAATCCTGACTATTTCTTTCTTCTGGTAACAAATCTGACAGGAGAAAAGATTGGTGATAGGACCAAAATTACTCTTCTGAAAGGCACAGAGGCTCAGAATCTGAAGAGCATGTTCTACATGTTTCACTCTGTTACAGCAGTTTAGCTCAGAGCAAGATTCTCTTCGAATCTGTACCAGAATTGCATCAGGAGTAACTCAAAATGTGCTCTGAATGAAGGTTTTCACTCCCTCGCTCTGCCTTGCTCTCTTTTATCTATGATCACCCTTTCCCACGATGGTTATAGAGGATGAAGACTGAAGAGTGGGTTTCTCCAGGCTTTTCACACAGGCTAACCTGGTGGCACAGGCTCAGCTCTCCCAGGTGCCAACAGACTCCTACACGGGTCTCTTCATTGCAGAAAGCTTTAGCACAGCCTGACATCAAAAAGCACAACTGGAGAGGCTTCACTGCTCATGTTTGTGCAGTGGGAAGAGGAACTCTTGTAGAAACCTTGTTGGACTCAAGTAACCCCAATTCCAAGACTACCTGAGTCAGTGTTGCAATGTCAGTGCATTTAGGAACACCAGAAAAAGGCACATTTTCCCTTAAATTGTTCATTATCCAGCTCTCTGCATCTGTACATTGTATTATTTCAGCATTATAGTATTTAATCATAGAATCTTTGTGTTGAGGGCACCAGAATTGTGTGCAGTATTCCAGGTGGGTCTCACCAGAGGAGAGGGGAAGAATCACCTCCCTTGACCTGCTGCCCACACTCCTTTGGATGCAGCCCAGGATTATCTGTATCACAGAGCCATGGAATCATAGAATGGCCTGGGAAAATTTAGCCATCTTCTGCATCTCCCTGTAGTTATGCAAGAAGGAAGCTGGACTCGGTTTCCCCAGAGAGGAGCACAGGAGGACATAGCTCAGTGCATTTTTGTATCCATTTCATGGCTTATGATTACATGTGCTGTGGGGAAAATGCTCTTCCATAGCAGGGATGTTCTTATTAGCACCAAAAAAGTACAGTGGGCTTAGTTAGGAAATTCATTTGTGTGATATTAATGACTCAGTATTAATCTCCATGCAATTTGGTACACAAGCAGCATTGGCACCTGAAGAGCTTTTGGCACAAGAGCAGGGGATGAGGAGGATGTTCTACTGAACCTTATGCTGCAAGACAGGATATATGTCAAACCAGCCTCAGAACTGCTCTGCTCAGCAAAGCCTTCGTAGCCTTGCATGTCTTACAAGTGTTTTACATGCCTTGAATTTCCTTTTTCAACTGTGCTGTGGATATGGTAAAGACTATTTTACATACTAAAATATATATTTTTAGTGGATTAAATATTAAAGTATTTATTGAAAATATCTTTTAAATATATGCTTCTTGCTGAAGTAGTTAACTTTGCCTAATTCCAGCTGGTCCATCTGGAAGTGTTTGGAGTAGTCAAAGTGTGACATACCATAAAGTAGAAGCTGCTGAATTATATATTTGTCCAGTATAGGGATGCTACTTTCTTAACACGTTGTATCCATACAGAGCCCACAGCTCAGGTGACAAGAAGAGGGAGAAAAAATTACTCCTTTGTTTCTCTTATGAGCTTTATCCTGTGCGGGGACACCTTGGGACCCCCCAGTGTGTACCTGCCATCACAGGTCTTCACACGCGGCCTCACTAACTCTTTCATCTTCACTGCTCTGTCTGGGCCTCACATTTCCAACCCATTTCATTTCCACCCTTTCCTTCCTGGCTGGAACGAGATATTTCTGTGGACACTCTGAGGGACACTTTGAGGTTCACGACAAGTGCTGTGCATTACACCATTAAGTAGTAGAATCTGAAGGTGATTTCTGTTGTGACGTTCCCATCAGATTAATCCTGATTTCTCTTCTTTCTTTTTTTTTTTCCTTTTGTAAACTCTTT